TCTGCTGCTGCTGCGCCTCAAGAGAAGCAAATAACTCCAATTTAGGTCTTTACGTCGCAGTTTTGCTGCTGCAGCTACACCGGGATGTGCAGACAAGCTCCACATACACACTACTGCAAACTGTGGGGCCCCTGTGGGGCCGAGGACTTTCTCTGCATGCAGCAGCAGCAACAACTGATGCCGCTGCAGCAGCAGCAGCTGCTGCTGCTGCCACATTGAAAAGCACATTTCCTAGTCAACAGTTAGCCATTCGTCCCCGATCTGTGTTGATCTGCTGCTGCATGCTGGTGAGCTTGCCCGCCCGAAGGCTGGGGTGTACATACAGCTCAGCAGCCCTTCTGCACCCCTGCAAAGTTTGAAACTGCATTTATTACTCTTTAAAATTCACTTTTAATAATATTCGCGACACCCTGGCTTTGCAGGATAGCGCAAGCTCCGCAGCTTCTCATTACGTGGCGTACTGCTGCTACTGTTGCTGCTGCTGTTGCTGCTGCTGCTGTTGCTGCTGTTGCTGCTGCTGCTGCAACTGCTGCTGGGTGGAGCCAGCTATGTCTAGTCCCCACTTGTACGCTGCCAGTCAATCAAACCCTAGGCGCAGCGGCCTGCGTCTCGAGCCAGAAGCCCCAGACTGCCGAGGCCCCCAGCTGCAGCTGCAGCAGCCCCCGCAGCTGCAGCTGCAGCAGCCCCCCGTTGCAGCTGCAGCAGCCCCCAGGTGAAGTTGCAGCAGGCCCCAGATGCAGCTGCAGCAGCGCCCAGCTGCAGCTGCAGCAGCACTGTGGGGCCTCAGAGCGCCGTCTCTAAAGGCCCCTGGGGCCTAGCTTAGGCCCCTGGGGCCCAAGCTGCAGGCCTCTGGCCCCTGCAGCAGCAGCCCTTTGCTGCTGAGCTTCTGCTGCAGCCCTAGCAGCACAGCTCTGCCTGCAGCAGCACGTAACTTAAGGGCCCCCAAAGCCTTGAGGGCCCCCCTGCCTTGCTGCTGCAGCAGCAACGCCCCCACTCCAGGTGACCCTGGCCCTCGGGGTTTCAGCAGCTCCCTAAACCCTAAACCCTGAACCCTAAGCCCTTACTCCACTTCGAAGGGCTAAGTGCGTCTACGGGGTGCGCTGAAGAGGACGCAGCCGATTCGCTACACTGTAAAGAAACCCTGTTTGTACTAGGTCTGCTGCTGCTGCCGCTGCTGCAATTGCTGCTGCTGCTGCTGCTGCTGTGAAAGAGCTCTCAACCCTAGACTCAATCCAAGGAAAAACTGGCTGATACAAAAAACAAGTCCTTGGCTCTACGTGCACCTCGGGTGGATATCTCTGGCTGCAGCAGGCCCTTGGCTGCTGCTGCTGCTGCTTCTGCTGATGCTGCTGCTGGTGCAGCGAGCAAAGAGAGCGTAGAGCCATGCCGGGAGCAACGCAGCGGCAGCAACAGCCGCCGCTGCTGCTGCTGCTGCGAGTTGCTATCCATTGCCAGCCCTGCAGTAACAACCTTTTACGCAAGTGTGTTTGATTTCTGCTTCTGTCTCACTTCCCCCTATGCCTAGTCCCACAACTTCTACTAGTGCAGCAGATCGGGTGTCTTCTTTGCTCTCTATTTCTGAGATTTCTTTTCTCCGAAG